TCTTAGAATTTTGCACTATAGCCTTTTGTGGCCTCGGTGAAAAGACAATTTTAGAAATACCATAACTATAGAATGTCTGGGAGCTCTGATGGCTTAGTGGTAAGAAGCTGTGCTGCCATCCTAAAGGCATGTGGTTCAAAACCACAAGCTGCTCCTTGGGAGAAGGATGGACAATCTCCTCCCCTTAAAATATACAGCCTCTTACAAAGCCACTAGAGGGTCAGCTATGAGTCGGTTCTGACTTGAGGACACACAGTAATAACAACACAGAATATCCACAACATAGCAAATTTTAAAACTCAACTCAGTGACATTGGGTTGGTTCTAATTCACCAAGACCCTCCACCGAGTTTCCAATGCACAGGGAGGAGAACCACCCATTTTTTCTGTCAATCAGCTGCTGGTGGATTTCAACCTCCAGAGACTCACTGCTTTTGGCTTAGCAGTGCAACTCCCTATGGACAGGCTACAAGAGCTCCTTAAATGCAAGAGGAAGCAAGCAACATAACTGAATGAGTTGGGCAAAGACCACGTATAAGTTCACGATAGTATTGTTCCTATCAGTTGAAAATTGGAATGAATCTATGTCTCTCAGTATTAGTTAAATAAATCATGATGCAGTGACACAGACTACTATGACAATTATGAAAAGAAATAATGTAGATGCTTATTTCGTTAATGTTGAAAATGCTTACAAGGTATTTTAATGTGGAAAAAGGGTATACAGAATAGCACTATAGCACAATTAAACTGTTATAACGCAATATTCATGTACATGTTGTTGTGTACCATAGGAACAGAACCAACCCATAGTTGTTGCTCCAGCCAGTTTTCAGAGGCAGAGCCCTCCTCCCATGGAGCAACTGGTGGCCTCAAACCATGTACCTTCAAGATTGCAGTGCAGTTTCTTGCCTCTAGGCCACATATATAAGCACACATACAAAATGGAAACACATTTTCTAGCTTTTGAGTTATTTTGCTATCTTCTTTAGATTTTTGGTAGAATTCTTATACTGACCATTTGTAACTTTTATTTCTTTTCAAAAATCCTAAAATTTTGTTGTAAAACTATGTGTTGCCTATAAAAAGAGCAAATACTACAAAAAGACATTAAATATAAAACTCGGTCATAAATCTTGGTAACAACCATGGTTAAGGCTGGTGTAATTTTTCCAGATTTTTTTCCCCAAGACTATATCAATTTATTTGCCTCTCAGACAACAGAGAATCTATTTTATATTTGTTGTTGTTGTTGTTGTTGTTATGTGCCATCGAGTTGCTTGCAACTCATAGTGACCTATGTACAAGAGCCCTAAACCCTGCTCTATGCTGTGCAAACCTGTCTTTGACAGACCTACTCCCATTACCCCAATCACTGAATTGATCCATTTCATTGAGGGTCTTCCTCTCTTGCACTGCCCCTCCACCCTCACAAACATGATATTCCTCTCCAACCACTGGTTCCTCGTTGCAACATGCCCAAAGTATGTCCGATGAAGCTTCAGAATCCTTACCTCCAAGGAACAGCCTGGTTTCATCCTCTCCAGGACAAACATGTTCGTTCTCCTAGCAGTCCATGGTAGATACTCTTCTCTAGCACAACAGCTCAAAGGCATCAATTCTCTAACATCCCTATTCACTGTCCAGCTCTCTGATGCATAACATGCAATTGCTAAGACTATGGTCTGGATCAGGTGCACTTTAGTCTCTAGCCTGATGTCGTTGCTCTTCAGTACTCTGGAGAGGTCCCTGACAGCTGATTTTCCCAATGCAATTCGTCTCTTGATTTGCTGGCCGCTGGTACCAAGAGCGTTGATTGTGCAATCAAGCAAATGAAAATTGTTAACTATCTCAATCTCTTCCATTCATAATGATGCTGCCAATTGGCTCAGTGGTGAGAATCTTTGTTTTCTTGATGTTGAGCTTCAATCCATATTGAAGGCTGCAGTCCTTGCAAGTGCTTCGGGTCCTCCTCAGTGTCAGCAAGCAGGGTTGTGTCATCTGCATAATGTAGGTTGTTGATGAATCTTACTCCAATCTTGATGGTACATTCTTCCTTGATTATCTGTTCTGCATACAGATTGAAAAGGTATGGAGACAGAATACGTCCCTGGCAGACACTCTTCCTGATTTTGAACCATGCAGTGTCTCCTTCCTCTGTTCTGACAACCGCCTCTTGGTTCGCTATAGGTTTCGCATAAGCACAATCAAATGTTTTGTAATTCCCATTCTTCTCAGAGCCAGCCAGTTTGTTGTGATCCACACAGTCAAAAGCGTTTGCATCGTCAATGAAGCACAGATAGACATTCCTCTGGTACTCTCTGCTTTCTGCCAAGATCCATTTGACATTTGCTATAATATGCCTAGTACCATGGCCTCTTCTAAACCCAGCCTGCACATCTGGCAGTTTTCTATTGATGTATTGTTATATGTATTGACATATTGGATAATTTTCAGCAGAATCTTGTTTGCATAGAGAAATCATACATTATTAGAAAAATGAATAAGTAAAATCTTCTAGTTAAATTTATAATTATAAAAGCTACTAGAAAGATAAACTAACTCATTGCTCTTCAGTCAGAATTGACCCTTAGCTGACTCTCCATCAGGTTTTCCTGAGGCTATGAATTGTATGGGAGGAGACTGCCCATCTTTCTCCCAAGTGGTAGATTTGAACTGCCTGAGGAACTGCGTTTGGGTTAACAGCACAGCTCTCTATGGACTATGACACCAGAACCCCTAGAAGGATAAACGAGTATAACAGATTCAGTGGAAAGACAAAATGTAAAGGAATGCATACGAAAGGACATTAAGAACAGAATATTAAAGAATTACATGTAGATCATACTTGGTAAAAGGAAATATTAAGAACTGGTTTAGGGAAAAATAAACCACTTTAGTCGAAGGGATGTTTCTTCAATAGGACAGCCCGGCAGCGAGAGCATCCAGCATTCACAGCTCCCCCCCCAAACGCAAATCAGACAGGCTGCTATGGAGTCCATTTGGTCTCATGGTGACCCATGTGTTACAAAGCAGATCTGAGCACGATAAAGTCTTTTCTGTGAAGTAGATTGCCAGGCCTTTTTCCTGCAGTACCACTGATGGGTTTGAACTCCCAACGTTTAGGTTAACAGCTCATCGCTAACCAGTTGAGCTAACCAGGGATCTTCACAGCCTCACATACAGAATTAAAGGAGAGAGCCATTCACAGGAGGCAGCTTTTAGATTAAATGTTTAAGCCACATTCCACCCTTTCACCTTGGAGTCATCATCAGGATAAAGAGATCCTCACCCTAACTTCACCCTGACCATAGTGTGGTTTCTGGCTTCTTGTTCTCCTTTTTTTAAAAATGGAGTGTTTTTCTTTTAAGCCTTCTCAAAGCAAAATCTTTAAAATGTCTTCAATTTAAAGAACTGAATTTGAGCCCCTGGATAGTGCAAATGGTTAAGGAACATGTAGGTATTAATCAAAAGTTTGGTTGAATAGTTCCATCTACCCAGATGCACCTGGTTTAAAAAAAAAATAAGGCCTGGAGATGTGCTTTCTAAAGAGCAATCATGGAGAGCCCTATGAAACACAGCTCTGCTCTGACACGCCTGGAGTCACTGGAGTCTGCTGGAATGGACCACAAGACAAATGTTTGTTATCTCTGAATCAAAACCTAACAGGCTTTATATAGGTGAAGGGCTCATGGTCTAGGCTTCCTGGAACCCATCTCCCTCCCTCCTCTCACCACCTGCTCAGTGCACTCACAGGATAGGGCGTGGACCAGGTACTACTCAGTCCACACCGGACTTTCCCCAGGCTGTCGTGTTCCTTGCTGTCCACACTCTTGCAGCCTCATAAGCCAACTGGATTTCCAGTATAAAACTTTAAATAGGTCTTCAGCAACCACTTGGTCTTATTTGCTGCTGTTATAATTATGTACTGTCAAGTCAGAACTGACTCATAGCTCAAGTCAAGTGGGTTTTCAGAGCCAGTATAATCGCATGGGAGAAGACTGCCCATCTTTCTCCAGAAGAGTAGCAGGTGGATTAGAATCCCGTGCCTTCCACATGACAGCACAGCTCCTTATCACCAGAGTTAGACCATAGAGCTCTGGTGACACAGGCCACAGGGAATTGTGCCGCTAACCCAAAGACTAACCTCTCTTTCTGGTGGCTAGACTCCACGGAGAGAGAGAAAATTTCCTCAAGGGTCAGGTGTGAGTCCTTCTATTTGGTGACAATGAATGAGTGAATCTATCTTTTGTTGTTATTGTTAGTGAATATATCTTAAGACGTTTGTTTTCTAAGCCATAGTTTATCTGTGAGGAATTGGAATAGAAATTGTACTTAAATGTGTTGCTTGGGGTTCGGGATGCTTTGAAGGCAGAGGTATTTTTTTTTTTTAATATCTCCCACACGCCTGTCCCCCCCAAACTGGCTTACAGTATACACTAAATAAAATCTGGTTATATGAGTAATAGTAAATTTGTGGCTTCTCAACAGTGTCTGACATTTAGAGATGTTCAGTAATTATAGTTGAACATTTGCTATCTCCAGCTAGTTGAGAATGACCTTGAGAGCAGAACTGTTTTCAGCAGGACCTGGATGAGAGAACAAGAAAATCAGTTGGGTCTCAGATCTCAGTTCAATTTAGTGCAGAAGTGTAAGATAACAACAAATATCTTTTCCAAGTCAGGAGGGTCAAAAGTGGAAAATGATGAAGCAAGACGGGTAATTCCCCAGCTCCAGACAACATTCACTCAAAAGGGCTGGGTCTAAGACACTTTCCTTTTCATTGGTTAATGCAAGCCCTTCTTAACCAATGTGCGATGTCTGCCGAAAATTCCTGCTCGCGGACAGCCAATGAAAAGCGCCAGAGGACGGGCGCTGGGACAGTGACCCGGATTATCACCATTGGAAGAATGTCGCGTTTCGGGCTGTCTCGTGACAGAAGTTGTGAGGGGACCAGGCGAGGGAGTGCGGAGTCCTCTGGCCGCTGACCCCCCGCAGCCATGGAGGACGATCAGCCCGACAGTTTGGAAGGCTGGGTGCCCGTGCGCGAGGACCTTTTCGCCGAGCTCGAGCGACGCCAGCTGCGCTTTCTCGTCGCCTGGAACAACACGGAGGGCAAATTCGCCGTGACGTGTCACGATCGGACGGCGCAGCGACGGCGGCGGCACGAGTGGAGCCGGCCGGACTCCGAGCCGCAGGCCGAGGCTCCCGCGCCGCTGCCCAGCTGGACCGGCTTGCT